CAACTCATTTTATCCGCAACATCGCTGTTCATGCCACTCTAAATACCATTGATTCTGAAGTATATTGCGTGGAACACAATTTTTCATAGCAAAATGCTGAGATGCGGGCAATAAATATTTTTGCGTTTAGAAACTTGCGATTCCAGGCGCGGTATACCCGATGCGGACGGTTACGCCAGGTTTTGTGCGAGTTATGCAATCTTGCGATCAAGGATTACTGTCGTTAACCGTTTTTTGCGAACTGGACATCTCGTAACGGCACCGTAATGGCTCTGCACGACACCTGCCGTTTTATGGAGCCCGTGGTGATACGGTGCACGACGTCTGCCGTTAGGAGTAGCGCCTGATACGGTGCACGATGTCTGCCGTTAGGAGTCTGTCTCTTATACACATCTAGATGTGTATAAGAGACAGCGCCGGTACCGCCGCACATTCGTCCACCGGTCGCCGGTACCGCCGCACATTCGTCCACTGGTCGCCGGTACCGCCGCACATTCGTCCACTGGTCGCCGGTACCGCCGCTCATTTGTCCATCGGTCACCGGTACCGCGGCGCATTCGTCCACCGGTCGCCGGTACCGCCGCGCATTCGTCCACCGGCCGCCGGTCCTGCGACACATTCGTCCACCGGTCGCCGGTACCGCCGCACATTCGCTTTCCAGTCGGCGGTACCGCAAGGCAGCGTGCGCGGGGTCATGCGGAGCCCAACTCTGCGTTTTCTTGTTGTCGGCAGCGCGTCGAATCGCCCCTACGGGATCACAGTGATTGCCGTGAGGAGCCTCAGCCGCGGCTGGATTTACGACTCATAACCGCAGAGCTTCTCCTGAAACTGCCTGGCTTTCAACGCGCCGTGTATGCCTCGTCAAGACAAAAACATCGCTTCATCTCATAGATGATAACAACGTACCCCAAATTTCGTAGATGATAAAAGCGTTACTCAATTTCATAGATGACAACAACCTCCTACAATTTCATATATGATGTTTCTACCCATCATCGACGATTGCAAGTTGTGTTTGTTTGGTGAAAAGATTGGAGGGAAAAACAAATTTGGAATCAAGCGAATTTTGTGGGACTTGAGTTGATTGAACCCACGAACTTTTATTCCTGACGCCATTCACTAACTTTCGTTGAGGCAAACAAAGTGATGGTCACCGCAGCTACTCACAACCGTAGGGGTTTTTAAATTATCAGTGGGTTTTTATCTATTTTATTATTTTATTATTATTATTAATATTATCACACTATTATCGCGATTATCACGATTATTTTATTATCACACTATTTATGAATAAAATAGTGTGCTACAAAAAATACTTGGATATGCGTGAAATACGAGTACATTAAAGAAATAATTTTTTGGCATTTACGTGACCCATCCTTAGGTATAGTCAGTTTTAAGAGACCTACTTCTTTTCCTGTACAACGTTCAAGATGTTCTCTTTGGCTCAGGGAAGCTCGATGTCTCGAGGGCAGCTCCGCGCAGCTCGTTAAATCTCCAGAAAACCTGCGATGTCTACGAAGTTAACCGCCGTCTGGGCTCGGGAAGCTTTCTTTGTGCCTGTCGCGCTGCACACTGAACACAATTCGTGCGTACGGATTCGTGCGCAAAGCATAAGACATTCGTGCACGAATTCTGCGCACGACGAGCGGTGCGTAAGGCCATCGTGCACGCAGACTGCTCACGAATTGTGCGCACGATGCGCGGTGCGTAATTCATTCGTGCACGCAGACTGCGCTCGATTTGTGCGCACGATGCACTTACGTAATTCATTCGTGCACGCAGACTGCTCACGATTTGCCCGCACGATGCGCGGTGCATAAGGTATTCGTGCATGCCGACAGCTCACGAATTGTGCGCACGATGCACGGTACGTAAGGTACCGTGCATCGCACGGTGCATAATGCGTAATTCATTCGTGCACGCAGGCTGCTCTCGATTTGCTCGCACGGTACGCGGTACGTAACTCATTCGTACACGCAGACTGCGCACGATTTGTTCGCGCGATGCACGGTACGTAATTCATTCGTGCTGCTCACGATTTGTACGCACGATGCGCGGTGCGTAATTCATTCGTGCACGCAAACTGCTCACGATTTGCGCGCACGATGCACGGTGCGTAATTCATTCGTGCACGCAGGCTGCGCACGATTTGCTCGCACGGTGCACGGTACATAATTCATTCGTGCACGCAGGCTGCGCACGATTTGCCCGCACGGTGCACGGTGCATAAGGTATTCGTGCATGCCGACAGCTCACGAATTGTGCGCACGATGCGCGGTGCGTAAGTCACTAGGACGCGACCCCGGTCTGGGTGAAACCCTCCCCTAACCCCGACCCCGGGGGAGACGCGGGGCTAACAAGGGTCGTCTTTTGTGGGGCTTTGTGGGGCGACGTTGTCATGAATGTGTACGTGAATTAGGAAGAGTTTGTTACCGTGGACGGCTCTTCATAGTCATTTGTTCAATCCATTGTCTACTCTATTTTCCAGAACATCAGATGTGAATAGCGTTGACAACGGTTAATGTACACGCCTCTTATTATATTAATATATGTAATTAAATATAAAAGTTTCTTTCTTGACCTTGACTAGTCAAGAAAGGTTTGTCCACGTGGCTTATGATTTCTACTTGAGTCAAAAAGCGAGTGTTTTAACGGTCATATAGGTTATGTGAACTGTACATCGAGGTAATTAGACTACTAATCTTAGCTTTATAGGTTTTGTACTCGGTCACGTGGCAAACAACGATCAGTATCACTCTCTGAGCAATTTTCCTCACTTGTTATTTCTAAATAAGAATAAATAATACAATAATAAATATTTATATATAACTAAGAAATGGTTGACGTGCGAGACATTTTTCTAGCGATCATAATAACGGCCTTGATTTCTTACTTTCAAATTTTGAGAAACCTTAATTTTCTAGTTGAAATCTTAGATAGCATTAATTTCCGCCTTGTTTGCACGACACAAACATACACTAGGTTCGGAACGTCGACTTGGGTCGCGCGCGAAAATTTCTAGAATTTTCATTGAACAAACAAAGGAGGATATTGGAAATTCTTTGAAAGAAAGCGACGTATTGTATGGTACAGGATATCCTGTGGCACTCTTTTTGTTCGGCAGCCACATATGAATGATGTACTACTGAGTAGCACGCGCTGATGAAGCTAAAACCTTTGTTGGCTTCCATTAGGCCTTCAATACATCACTTTGCTGTACAATACCGAGGTTAAAACCCGTCTGTCTCGACACATTTTGTGTTTCGGTGCAACGCTTTGTAACCTCATAACAGAGTTGAACCTGCAACTTGCTGCATCTGTATTTTGATTTGTGGATTTTCGGTTTAAACTTCTATTTGCAGGATTATAAAACTCGATTCATCGCCACGCAGCAATTAATTCATTGCACTTTGTACTTCAGTTTGAAGCTCAGGCTAAAATTTGTAGGGACGTATTTATATATTTAGGTGACAAATACGTAGGGATGTATTATGTTTTAGGGGCTAAATACGTAGGGATGTATTTATATTTTATTGACTAAATACGAAGGGATGTGTTTTATGAATGCTGCTTGATGCTTGAGACAGCTCCTTTATAAATATAGTCCTGCTCTATGTTTCTTAACGTAAATTTTCTGATGCTTGATTTTATTTAAACTTCTTGCAATATTTGAAATAGTTTCGGAATACTCCCGTAAATACTGCTCATCCGAAGCACGAGTAGGAGGATACATACAAGGTGGCCAGTTATTTCTCTCTTGTACACTTTACTATTTGTTTCAACGAGTTATATTTTAATAACAAAGGAAACACTGGGTGTAATAGTTCATCTTCGCAGGATCAGTCTCACCTTATAACATCACTTTTAAAAAGCTTAGTATTAGATAGTTTGAGTTTATAGTTTATGACGAGTATCAGGTGTTATGATGAGTATCAGGTATTATGATGAGTATCAGGTATTATGACGAGTATCAGGTATTATGACGAGTATCAGGTATTATGACGAGTATCAGGTATTATGACGAGTATCAGGTATTATGACGAGTATCAGGTATTATGACGAGTATCAGGTATTACGATAAGTATCAGGTATTATGACGAGTATCAGGTATTATGATGAGTATCAGGTGTTATGATGAGTATCAGGTGTTATGATGAGTATCAGATATTATGAGGTGTAGAGCCGTATGGGTGTTGCCGAAAAAGTTTCAGACATGCAAAGGTTTGTTTGGGTGTTGCAGGTCGACGTTCTGATCCAGAACTAACGTCATCATTCCGTTCAAAGGCGTTCAAATCAAAGCTGTTGTTGCATCACGACACAAATCGCTTAACAAATGATCTCATAATATAGTGATGAGTTTCATCATATAGTAATGGTCATATAGTAATATTAATGTTCATATAATCCTATTAATTTTAATGACTCTTTGTCAAGGTAATGACAGATATAAGAGGAGGCACTGATCTAGTCGCGATTGAAACTGAAAGTGAAGTCCATATTGGGAGAGCAGGATCTCGGTCTGGGGGGCGACACCCCCATGTTGATTAGTGGTATTGCTGCATGGACTGGATCTGTTATGGGGTGTCGCGGGGGCTGGATCTGTTATGGGGTGTGGTGTGGTGGTGTGGCGGTGGTGTGAAAGTGTGGCGTGGTGGTATGTGATGTAGTGGTAGTGTGATGCGGTGTGATGTGGTGTGGTTGTGGCGGCCTGGTGGTGGTATGGTGGTGATGTGTGGTCATGCTATGCTTCTATTTTTGATTTACTTTGAAGCGCCGAAATTCTTCATATTATTTAGAATGCAATTTTAATAAATTTTTGTTACAGTTTATACATTCTGATGAATTTAAGTTATTCAACATAGAAAACGATTGAAGCTTTGTTAATGAGATTTGATGATTAATTCACTCATCAATTTGATTAATGTAAAGGAAAGAACAATAAAGTTCTGTTGTCAGTTTGCTATATTTTAATTAAAGCACATGGTTCTTAATTACAGAGCCGTCCTAGGAGCGAGGGTTCCCGCGTACCGCTGGTGAGTAAACGGGAGGGACCTGTTGTGGTATACGGTTCTTCTGTACTGCAAAGATAATTTCCTATAAGATAAGATATGTAAGATAGCTGCTTAGACAACTGAGACAAGATATGTAAGATAGCTGCTTAGACAAATAAGACAAGATATGTAAGATAGCTGCTTAAACAACGGAGACAAGATATGTAAGATAGCTGCTTAGATAACGGAGACAAGATATGTAAGATAGCTGCTTAGACAACTGAGACAAGATATGTAAGATAGCTGCTTAGATAACGGAGATAAGATATGTAAGATAGCTGCTTAGACAACTAAGACAAGATATGTAAGATAGCTGCTGAGACAACTAAGATAAGATATGTAAGATAGCTGCTGAGACAACTGAGACAAGATATGTAAGATAGCTGCTTAGATAACGGAGATAAGATATGTAAGATAGCTGCTTAGACAACTGAGACAAGATAAGTAAGATAACTGCTTAGACAACTGAGACAAGATATGTAAGATAGTTACTTAGACAACTGAGACAAGATAAGAAAGATAACTGCTTAGACAACTGGGACGAGATATGTAAGAAAGCTGTTAGAACAATTAAGGCAAAGTTCAAATTATCGGCATGCATTCATTAGTTTATTAATCCACATGCCATTGGCACTGCAAGGTGAAAACGATCGGAACTACTTAATTTATTTTAGAACATCGGGAAATATAGAGCTAGTTTTACTACATATGTAAATTTTCTCCGAGAGAACGTGTAAAAGGTCGAAGTTATTAATTTATATTTTTTTCTTCTACGTATATTGTGAAGTAAACATCATGGAAAACGGTGACAGGTGCAACATAAATTCTTCACTGGATGCCATAAATGGTTCACGGAATGCCATAAATTCTTCACTGAATGCAATAAATTGTTCACTGAATGCCATAAATTTCTTAGTTTATTAAAAAATCTCGCGATGCTGGAGGAGTCGTCAGTGAAAGTTGAGCTGAGTTGCTGGCTTGTTTTTGTACCGCCGCGGCCCATGACTGATTTTAATGACCGCTGGTAGGCCTATAGCGACTAGGCCGCCTGTAAAACATGGAGCCATCCCACGTGTCCAGGATCATTGTAAATAATATAGGAGCTTTGACGGGTTAGTTGGCTGGGAAATGAAATTTATGATATAATTGGTGTTTTGCAATGAAATTTGGCTATGGAAGTGGCACTGTGCAATGGAGTCTGTTGTATAATTGGTGATGTATAATGAAGTGGAAGTGGTAGTATAGAGTATAGAGTAGCATGGTATATGGTAGTATAGAGTATAGAGTAGTATGGTATATGGTACCGCTTTAGATAAATAAGTCACGGGGTGATCTTGATGGATAAGTCACGGGGCGATATTTGATGGATAAGCCACGGGAGATCTTGATGGATAAGCCACGGGAGATCTTGATGGATAAGTCACGGGGCGATATTTGATGGATAAGCCACTGGAGATCTTGATGGATAAGTCACGGGGCGATATTTGATGGATAAGCCACGGGAGATCTTGATGGATAAGTCACGGGGCGATATTTGATGGATAAGCCACGGGAGATCTTGATGGATAAGTCACGGGGCGATATTTGATGGATAAGCCACGGGAGATCTTGATGGATAAGTCACGGGGCGATATTTGNTGCGTTCAATGAGTGATGCGTTCAATGAGTAATGCCAATGGGTAATGCGTTCAATGAGTAATGCGTTCAATGAGTGATGCGTTCAATGAGTAATGCCAATGGGTAATGCGTTCAATGAGTAATGCCTTTAATGAGTAATGCCTTTAATGAGTAATGCGTTCAATGAGAAATGCGTTTAAATAGTAATGCGTTAATGAGCAATGCGTTCAACGAGTAATGCGTTCAATGGATAACGAGTTATGAGGTCAGTTATTCATTACCCATTGAACGTTCAGTTATGAGCTCAATTTTTCAAATGTTCCCTGTTTTTTTCATCGTAATCGTGAAATCGTTTGTGATGGCTGAAGGAAACACTGAACAAATATAGATGGAATGCAATAAATACATATAAAGCCATGTGTGAAGATGAGATCCACGTGGGCACGTGGAGGAAGTGTCAGCCAAAACGGGAGCCTTGAGACGGTAATCCGGTAACAATTTGAGACGGTAATCCGGTAACCGGAAAACCGGCGGTTGGGCTTAGCCTGTTGGGGTCAATGGGATTGGGCATCTGAGTAGAATAATGCATATTCGGCGAAAAATGACCGTTTGTCTTGTATTTATCTCATATCATCTAATTTCTTGATTCTGTAATTAACAAGCCGTTATTTATAGGTATCTGCATTGATGCTAGATTCCTAATATATGAATCTGAACGAACTATTTCCTAAAACCTGTGGTTGTAATAATATATTTTATTCATAATTTCAGTTAATATGAAATCACAGCTCACGGAGACTTTGGAATTTAAGCATTTCCTACGTAAGATTATCTTCGTTAACGATCTTCTAAGATACGAGCTGTGATTGGCTCGTTTCCCGGCATGCGAGGTTACCAACCGCTTGTTAGCTCACGCACTTCCAGTATGCGGTTGCTACCGGTGCAGTGAGGGTGTATGGTGTGTTGCTGCGGTGCTACTGAAGCTTAAGTTATTCAATGAGTTAAAATAAATAGCGAAGAATATATGATTGGAGTCAGTGAAGTGCAAGGCTTGTTGTTTTAGAAACTATAGCGTCTGTGGGATACAAGTTTTATAATTGAAGAGGTGAGATATGCTCAATTTTCTTTTGATTAAATATTTACTATTAGAAAGTAATTAAAATAAATGAGAACATTACATAAAAATAAAACTGAGCTTTATCGTCAGTATCGTTTGAGCGATATTGCGATACTTTTTGGCTTACTATTTAATGAAAAATTATGGTTATATGTAGTATTTACAATGTTATTTGTTAAGCTCTATGAATTACTATAGGCATATTGTACGAGTGATTGATTGAAACATTCTAACCCAGTACTGAACACCGCGACTTGACAATGCGTTTCATCACTAAGAAGTCACCAAGACATTAATCGTATACATAGTATTATCTAAAAAATGTAACAAAAAGTGAAGAACCTTAATTTTTGCTGTCTAGAACTTGATATATAATAAAGAATTTAATATTACTATGAAATGTGATGGACTGAAGTGGATCCAAGCTCAAATTATCTCGGAAAGCTTTCACTCATTTTTACCGAATTTTTCATCTCGTGTGGTTCTTCCTAACACTGTTTAGCCCGGCAACGGGGCAGATCTGTGCTATCGTGCAGAAAACGTGTCCTTATTTTTGCAATATTACCCATTAATTTGAGTGAGTGCAGCGTTCTACACTAGTGTTCCAGGTCCTCTTCTTGCACGTATCGTATTTCGTGTACCCAAACTCGCTTGTTTGTTTAAATTGTTCTGCCGTTCCTGAATTTATAGGATGTTCAAGCCTCTCTATTTTATTATTGTAAAAAAACTACTTGAACATGATTAACCACTGCTAGCAAACTCGTTTTTACATTTTAACAAGTTTCAGAAGTTGTGAGTGTTATTATCTCTTGGTGTTAGTGGAACACCGGGATGCTTGTTCCATTCAACACCCCACGCGATTTTAAACGCCAAATGTTTTTTTAAGTTTTGAGCGTATTTCCAAGCATTTCCGGAACATTGGATTCCTGAAAAAGTTTCACTGAACAAAGCAAGCAAGTTCTTGTTTATAACGCTAGTGTTTGTAACGTTTTAGGTGTTATTATACCCAAGCGTCTCTGGACCACCGGGACACTTGTTTCATGTAACACCCCACGTGTTTATAACGCTAGTGTTTGTGACGTTTTAGGTGTTATTATACCCAAGCGTCTCTGGACCACCTAGACACTTGTTTCATTTAACACCCCACGTGTTTCAAGACGGCTGGTCTCGATTGTTCTGAAGAGCCGCTGACCGCATGGGTGGCGGTGAAGTGATCTTCCCACCGAACCTTGTGTGGTCGCGCCCTTTATTGATTATTCGTCATCAGCCGAACCTTGAAAACGTTTTTTCTCCCATGTTTTTTTTCTTTGTTAAATAGAATAATTCTCGAATAAACTCTTGTTTTTACTAGTTTTTGGTCTTACTTTACGTATTATTTGACTACATTCTACTTATTTTTTGATTAATTTACGCACCATCGAATTTTTTTCAAGCAGAGCTCGCTGTATATATTGTTCATTAGATCTAATTCAATATTATGCTAAATTAATTCATGAAATAAATAAAGCTTCATTAATTTGTTGCACATGCGTGCCCTGCATTAAACTGTGAATTGTTATTTACGAAATGATCAATATTAATGTAATGTGTTAAGATAAAATGTTTTAGTTACTGAGCGTAAGCAGCTAAGATGGTCGAATCCGCGTAACTGGAACAGGCTGGGTTGCTATTTATTATTACATGTATTATTATTATTTAGCATTAATAAACAGATACAATATTTTTTGAACTTGGAGAAATTAGTGATACGTTCAAATAGCGATGAACTTTTTAATCTTATGTGGGTCAACCTGACACAGTACGGGCCAGCATAAGGCGTATCAGTGCTACGTCCGCTCTTTGCTCGTGCTGTTGGTAAGCACGTGTGTTGCTATTAGGAAAATTTTACCCATTCTATATTTTGAGTGCGTGTTATAATTTCCGCTGGCGCTCTATTATACTAATGCTTTAATGTACGTCAATGATGAGCGCAATAAGGATGCTCTTTATCACCGAGTGCTCTCTTAAGTTCGACGTTTGCACTCTTTAAGTGCACTCTTTTATAGGCGCGAGCCCGTTAGTCGCCGCTCGTGTCATGAGGCCTAGTGAGAGATGCTCTCTAATTAGAGCGCCTGCAATAATAATAACTCGCGTAATAAGAACTTATTTCGGCTCTCACGTGAATCGTGGTGACAGTTTCTGAACAGAGAAAATCGTGGTGACTGTACACTGTAATCGTGGTGAACTACGATCGTCTTTGTGCTTCGGT